AAGGATTACAAGGAAGGTGATACTGGCAAACAAAAAGAAATAAGTAAATAACTCAAGCTTCCTTGAAGAACTTGTCGACGGAAGCAGGGGCGGAGCTAGAATTTCGAGACCGGGTGGGTCGAAAAAAATTAAATCTAAATAAAAAATAATTATGATAAATCACTCAAAATAGTATGGAAACTAATAATTTTAGTTATATTTATTCCAATATAAATAGCTAAACTTTCGGCAAAACTCATCATTCATGTTATTTCGTAGGGGTCGTTTGGAAGTTGTGATTGTTAGAGTTGTGTTTGTTGAATACATGTATTGTGCACAATACAATGTTTGGAAGTGTCAAAGTGTTAAACAATGCATGCATTGTTTTAGGTAGGTCCCACCAACAATCACAAAAAATTATGCATTATACAATCTCAACTAAAAGTTGAGATTTTTTGTTTCAGATTTGTGTAACATTTTATTTCCATTTATATCGCCAATAGTTTTTGTCTTATTCTAAAAGTTGAGAGTAAATGTGAAATTTTCCCATAAAAGTAACTTTATGTAAATCAATGCATAAAGTAGAATCTCAACAACCGAACAAGATATTGTTAAAATGCATCCATTATATCAATACATGCATTTATATTATGGTGATTCATTACAATGCAATGATTTAACATTCGCAACTTCCAAACGACCCCTGAATTTCATTGACAGTCTTATTTTTGTTAATTCCTTACATAGATTAAAAATAGACAATAGCTTCTGCCGTTCGGTTTCACTAATTATAGATGTGAACTAAAATAATTAAGTCTTGAAGTGCGTAAAGCAAAAAGAACAATATGTAATAGCTGGGAATTGAACCCATGTCCTTTAGAATAAAAGTAAAGCTTGACTATCATTAGGCTACATGACCATTACCTTATTATTCTACTGGACTAGGTATAGTTATAATTTTACTAAATATCCTTAAAGCCCTAGGGCCGAGACCATTCCCGAGTGGGGCCGGGGCCCACCCTATGACCATTGTAGCTCCGCCCCTGGAGGGAAGCTTACTCCTAAGTCCTATCACATCTTCCCTGATTAACTGATACAACTCTTGTGGGGTTCATCTAGTTCATACACACCAAAAATATAGACGAGATTGTGTTTCGAGAGCAAGTCCGCGGCTCTATTTCTTTCGCGGTACGTATGCACTAGTTGAATCACCCATTCTTGAGCAAGTATCCTGCGAACAGGGAAATTAGTTAGGAATGATCAAGGTAAATTGGCTAATTTTACTGGATTAGTTGATAATTAAATGGAACAGGTGTCATGAGGTGACTGTAATTCCAAGAGGATTTTCATCACTATTTAACTTGTTTCATAAATATATTGTTACTAATTTGTTTGTTTGTTGCACATAGTAACTAAATTTTAGAGCATTTTTTTTAACTATGTAGTGTGTGTAAAGAAAACAACTTTCACCGTTGGTAACAAGAACCCCTTAAGTACAAGTTTGTTAACGAATGAAGACAAATCTGGCTTGGAACAACAACGCTGCACGAGGAACTTCCTTCACCTTTCAATGTAAATAAGAGAGTATCCTTAGTTCTACTCAATTAGTGTCCCACCACTATCCATAGCTTTTTCAACACCAACAAAAAAACTTCACCTAGTTGTCTTGGGTTGATAAATAGATATTATACATACTAACAAGTATGAATAATTAGTTGATGGTTTATTCTTTTTTTACGGGTAACCTGTAATAAAATTAATCTGAGGAAAAGGTTACATCATCCAGCTGTAGCTGATCAACTAGGAAAATAGGTGGACTATCAAGCCACACTTCTCTGCTATCCCAACTAGTCCCGTTGTGAGCCATGATATGTGCCGAATTATTCGGAGCGCCTTACATGTTTTACACTTCTCGAGGATGGGGTCTGCTCCTGTAAAAGGCGGGAAATCCGCCTGCAGATGACTCCAATCTCGGTCTGCACATCCTGAGCCTGCGCTACTTTCTCAACCAACGTTAAGCTATCGACTTCAAGCTAAAAACGATGGAAACCCAGCTGGTGCGCTAATTGGACGCCAAACTCTGCCGCCAGCGCTTCTGCCATTTCCACTTCAAAGGAACCACGAATCTTCTTCGTTGCCGCAACAATAAAACGCTCCTGATGGTCTCGATAAACAGCTCCCAGGCCTATCCCATCATTAGCCAAAAGACCGGCATCCGTATTGATCTTGATCCAACCTTCCGTCGGTCTCTCCCACCGTTCCGCCTGCCCGTCGCCCGATAACGTTTCCTCGGGGCCTTGGTTCTTCTTGTAGTCATCGAGAATTGAAAGTGCACGCTGCAAAATCTCGTTCTCAGGCCATTTGGGACCGTTGAAGAGATGTTCATTTTTTTCCTTCCATATTGCCCATAGTACCATAGCACACGATTCCGCAACGTCCGAGTTCTCATGCTTCATCACCTCCGCCACCCATTTCATGCAGTCCGACGATCCATGCACAGTAAACGCTCTTTCCCACGGTGATCCTCTCCATATCCGCTGCTCCGGCTACACTCGTGGAATAGGTGGTGTTGAGTTTCCTTTTGGTCGCAGAACGAACATTCATCACTCCGTTGTGGGTTCTTCGTTACCACTTTCACTCCTGTTGGGAGAATTTCCCTGGAGAACTTCCACAAAAAATGACGAACTTTGGGAGGAACTCTCATGATCCAAATAGCCTTACAGAATTTCTCAACACCCCGCAGTACAATCCCCTCCTCCTGCATAAAACCCGTGAGCCATTGCTTGTACCCACTCTTAACAAAATAGCGGCCATCATCACTATGACGCCATACAAGGAGATCTTGCTCCTCACTCCCCCGAAGAAGGATGTCCATTATAGTATGCGCAGTCGGATCGGGAAAGCAATTATTAAGCAAATCAAGGTCCCAACTTTCCGTTGCGGGGTCGATAAGGTCTCGAACTATTGCCTCCACCGGGAGATGTCTCAGGGATGAGGAGACTAAAGCTGGTTCTGTAGGGAGCCATAGGTCCCCCCAAACATGCACTTTGGAACCATTACCCACTCGCCAGCGAAGGTCAGCACACAGAAAGTCTTGTGCACTAAGCAGGCTTCTCCACATGTAGCTTGGTTTGCTTCCCAGCCGAGCATCCAATATAGAGCAGTTCTTATAGTACTTGGCGGCTATGATCCTGGCAATGAGGGACGTCGGTCGTTGGTGTAGGGACTATAGTTTTTTTGCGAGTAGGGCTCTGTTAAAGCCTCTAAGGTCGCGAAAACCCATCCCGTCATCTTCTTTCATAGTAACCAGCTCCTCACAGTGAATCCAGTGTGATCGCCTCTCCGCATTCTTCTGTCCCCACCAAAAGCTAGTGATCATACTATGGATCTCGTCTATAATTCCATCAGGTATCTTTAACATCGTCATAGCGTAGTTTAGCGGGGCTTGGGCAACTGACTTGATGAGAATTTCCTGAGCTACTACTGACAAAGTTTTTTCCTTCCATCCTTTCAGCATCTGTCTTACCCGTTCTTTCAATCCCGCGAAGAGGTCATTTTTGGCCCGTCCGTTGGCCTCATCTGTAGGGTTCTGCTGGTAATGAGCTTGTTATGAGGCTTCACATTTGCCGAGAAAGAGCCTTCCGACTTCTGGAAATTGACCATCTGTCTGGACTCGAGCTCATAAGCATGAAGTATATATTTTTAGCACCAGACATTCCTCCTGAGTAGCCCTGGAAAAAAAGATACTATCATCAGCGAAAAAAAGATGGGTAATCCCCGGGGCTCCCGGATTCACCTGCAGCCCATGTAGCTGTTTTACCTCCACCGCCTTGGCTGTATAGGCTGACAATCCCTCCGCACAAAGCAGGAAGAGATAAGGTGATAACGGATCGCCATGCTGTATCCCTCTGCTTGGAGTGAAAGTTTGGGATCGATGACCATTCACTAGAACAGAGTACGACACGGTAGTAACGCCCATCATAACGAGTTGTATCCAACGGTCGGCGAAACCCATTCTTCTCATAACGCCTTCAAGAAATTTTCACTCCACCATGTCATACGCTTTCGCCTTGTCAATCTTAGCGGCAAAGTACTCATGTTTCCATCGTTTGCTCCCTTTCATAGTGTGGAAACACTCGAACGCTGCCATGATATTGTCTGTGATGAAACGCCCAGGGATAAAAGAACTCTGAGCTGTAGATATGATCTTATCCAACAATGGCTTAAGACGGTTGGCTAAAACCTTCGACACAATTTTGTAAAGTACATTACAAAGACTAATCGGTCGAAAGTCTTTCGGAGAAGCTGGCTGTTTGGTCTTGGGGTTTTAAGCGCTTTCATTTTTTCAGTGCTCTCAAAATTTCAGGAATTGTCTTTTATAATTGTAACATTTAGTTTTGATGAGTTAATGTGGTTTTAAGAGCTTCCATTCGCGTGACCAATTAAGATGTTGAATCATCATCTTCTTCAATTCCGTCTAAATTTTGTGCCTCTATGCATTCATCATAAATTTTGCAACCAACCAAACCATGAAATAATTATCAACCATTACAAAAATTAATGATTTAATTGGTCATTTGAGGAATACATATAGTTGTTGTGATAGTCGGGCCGGAGCTATCTTTAAATAAGTCTTGCAACTGATGACAATGCATCAAGAGTTTCATGTGCGATTTGTAGGACGGAGTAGCAATAGGGTTGCCCATTTGTAGGCTCGTAAGGCCATTTCCTTGTACCCGACTACGTGTCGCTTTTTTGATTTTATGGCCTGATTGTGTGGCAGGATGTACTGATTTTTTTATCAATCAATATAATGATTATCTTTTGTAAAAAAAAAAACAATTTTCTATCTAGTTGCAAAAAATAAATGGCGTATACCATAAGATTAATGATTTAATTGGTCCCTTATAGCGACTACAACAATGAGAGCGATCGTTGATAGGAATACTAATCAAGGCTTTTGTTCTCTCGGTCTCAAAAGTAAAATAAGTATAGGAAGTTAATTATTTATTAGGCAACAATTAAACCTGTCGTAGAACAAACAAGCTTTTACAAGCATGGTGTGGGATAAAGGAACTCTGTGTCGATGATGAGCAACCCTTGGCCGTAGCTATGACGTTTCTCGGTACTTGCTCAAGTACTTCACCTTGCGAGGAGAGCAACAAAATGATCTGATCCATGACAGAAGTGTCGAATGGCAACACGATTGGTTTGTCGCTTGAGAACCCAAACTCTTCCTCTGACATCCTCAGTACCTCCAGGACCACGTCATTCGTCAGATACTTTAGTGGTATCACATAGCGACTTTTGTCCATGGTGTAAACCACGAAATAACCCCTTCTATCGCAAGATGACAATGACGTTCTTCTCACTACATCAATCTTCCTCCATTTTCTCACCATCAAGGCTACTAGGGTTTTGGGAAGAACCATGATGATGACGAATCTGAGCTGTTTTGAAATCTTATGCTGGTTAAGGAATACAAGGGAAATGATGAGAACTTGAGAAGTGTTAATTTCCAAGGCTTTTCGTTTTCGAGATGCTCAGTAGTGGGAATCATAGATAGGTAGCTTTTATAGATAGTATAGAGGACACACCCAGCTTGCTTACTTCCAAAACTGAACCTTCAATGGAAAGTTAGGGATAATCGGAGTTTATTGGATTGATAGATATTTACTTGGAACTAATTAAGTGTTAGCTAATTAGTTTCTTTTGTTGTATGTATATAGTAAAGATGTTGTTAGAAATTAGAATATGTACATGCTTTTAACTGTCTAGTGTGTCTAACTGTCAAGAAAAGGAGTTTATCCGTTAGTTACAAGAACACAAGTACAAGGTTTTGTTGACGAATGAAAACAAATCTGCCTTGGAACAACAAGGCTGCACGAGGACGTCGTGATGTTTCCATCTACCGAGGTGAATTAGAGAGGATCCCTAGTTCTACTCAATATGGATATTTGGAAGGGGAAAAACGAAATATGATTCCAATGCTACGCATAGTTTCTTTCAACAACTATTCCCAATTTTCTTTTGGTGGTGAGTACTGCTTACTTTCAACTTTCAAGTGGGAGAAAGCTTCAATTTTGGGTCATTTGGACGAGGGATTGGATTGAGCAATTTTGACACAATTCTTCAATCCGTCTTATTTGAACACAATCATTCTTTTCGAAAGATGAAGAATTTTGAGATTGTAAATTTCGAGAACTCTCAATTGCGGATTTTTTAAAATAGTTGATGGCTATCACTTATTTCAAAATCTCTCACTCTTTACTCTTTTCTTCCATTTTTTTTAATTTTTGTAAAATCCAACTTTACCCTAACCCACCATTATTTCTCCATCTACCATTGTCGTTGTCTCTACCTTAATCTATTGGCTAATCAACGTTGAATGACCAAATCGTAGAGACAATATCCTTTATGCCAAGAAGGATATCCTAAGAAGAAGCACGTACGTTCCCGTTCGGCGAACTTATGCAACCCGCCATGTGCATATTTGGTGTGGACTGAACACCCGAACAAACATAGATGACGAATAGATGTCGAGGTGCCAAACAAGACCACGGATAGTGTCTTCCCAATAGTTTTAGTTGGAAGACAATTTAACAAATAAAAAGTCGTTAACACGCATTCTCCCAAAAACTGTATAGATAATCCTGTATGAAAACGGAGAGCACGTATCGTGTCAAGGATATGTCTGTGTTTCCTCTCAACGACTTTGTTCTACTGCGGAGTGTTAGTGCAACTAGTACAAAAATGAATACCATGTCGAACATAATAGTCGAGATTCGAGAGAACATTAGTATGAATTCTATTCCATTATCAGTCTGAATACTCTTGACTTGTCGATTGAACTCCGTTGCAACCATTTCACAAAATATCATCAAGTATTGTCCCACATCATACTGGAAACGGAGGAGATAAACCCGAACACTATGACTATAATCATCGACTATGATGAGAAAATAACGAGCCCCACTTGAGAGAATTGATCATCAAGTATATCGTCCCACTCCATACTGGCAACCATTTCTTTCTCATAACTCTTGACATGACTTCAAGATGTTAATGAGCTGAATTGATCGGCTCTGATACCATGAAAACAATCAAATATAACACGAAATTGAGAATTAACGTAAAGATTTTAACGTGGTTCATCCTTACAGTTACCGACTATGTGGAAGTAGCCAGCCACAGAGACTGTTGTAAAACCAACCACCGCCAAGTATGAATCTCTCTCTAGAAAAGTTTCCTCTCTTTTTTTAAACCTTCAAACTTTAGATCTGGATACCCAGATGCGTCCTTCTATGAAGGGGCTTTTTCATCTTCCTTAGATCAACTAATGGAGAAGAGGATAGTAGTCTTAATGGTGGAATCAACCACCAAAAATCCCATCAAGAGTAAATATGCTAGGCCCAGAAGATCCTATGGTAGAGGTTCAACAGATGAAGAGTGTTTTTCAGCGGCATTAAATCCCCACAGCTACCCAGAATCTTTCCTCTGTCCTCTGCATTCAAGGCTAAATACCTTAAACGAACGGAAGATCCTCACCACGTCAATCAATGGATCCAAGATCACAAAGTCCAGTCTATTCAGACCCTCAAAGCAGAAGAAGGAAGCTGCCATGCTCAAGATATATCTTGAGCCTCAAAAAGATTGCAGATCTGATAGTAGAGAAGGAGTAAAAGACCCGGCGAAACATCAATATAGCTTCACAACTACCATCGATGGAATATTAATGGCCAACTTACATCGATCTCAAAGTCTCTATTTATTGGGTATTCAAACGCAGATCTGAGCCACCCAAGAAATTCCCATGCCCCTGATTCAGCAAACCCTACCCCACGCACAATCAAAAACCAACCTTGCTGGTATGGCGAACATGGGTGGACATAATAGAGCTGATGAATGGGAAGATCATGAGGCTGTTTTTCCTGATGAAATCCCCAAGAATCAAGAGACCCTTCGCTACGCCTTGTCGGGAAGGTTATATCAGAGCGCGGTATCTCCAAAAGAGTAATGGTGGGCATGACCAATGGAGCTTGGTCACACTTTTGTGAACCAGTTGTCCACGAGGTGTCCAAGATGAAGAATGTTTTCGTCTTCAAGTTCTATAGTAAGGAGGAACTCACGAAGGCTTGGGAAGGCAAACCGTGGCCAATCTCAAGGAATCTCCTCCAGCGGAAACAGTGTGAAGACTCTATCGAACCCCAAGATCTCAACTTTAATTTGGCAGACTTCTAGGTTCAGATCTATGGCATCCTTGACCATAAGAGGACCACTGCAAATTTGGAGTCAGTTGCTTCCATGTTCCCCAAGATACATGGCATCGATATGAGAGGGCTTAATCTAGAGAAGTTCATGGAGTTCATTAGGGTCTTCATTCAAGTTGACCTCACTCGTCCCCTGCCTCCAGGTTCCTACTGTTCCACTAATAGGGTACAAAACTAGCTTGGTTTCAGATATGAGAAATTGTATGTTTTGTGCTAGTATTGTGGGAGACAGGGTCATTGCAAGGAAGAGTGTCAATGAAGGAAAGTTGATGAAGAGGAAAGAATCCCATGTTCGCCTGAAGGAAGATACACCCGATGGATGAAAGCTGGAACTAATGCTCCCAGACCACCACCACCGCTGAGGGGTCGGATATGGGGTGCAGAACTAGATATGGGTCCCACGTGGCGCGTCTCCGGCGACGGGCCTGGTACTGACAATAGCCTGGGGAATGTGATCCGTGGGCCCCTTGGTTTCATCCCTCATCCATTTCCAACAGCTCAATCATCTCCAAGCCCAAGATCAATCATAGGAGTTGCTGCCCACTTTTACCATTCCCCATCTACAACCAGCAACATGGTTCCATATGGGGCCCCATTACCCTTTTCTTCTCCCAATAACAATCTCAATAGACAAATTTCTCCTCCTCTTGCTCGTAACCTCACTCCAGAATTAGAGGCAACCAATTGGGCTGAAAGCCAATTTCAGTTTCATAGTGGGCCGCCCACCCATGGCCAAACTCTATCCCAAAACCACCAAAATTTCTTTTATCCCAACCCAGCTCTCCCTAATCACCTTAACCCCTCGGCCCAATTCTACTCTCACCAAAATGAGTTGTATCAAGCCCATACGTCGTTACCCTTTGGTTCCCAAAATTTTCCCCAACTTCCCTTCCCAAACTCCCCACCTAGGCCCAACCATCAACATATGTCTAAGATGGCTATTGAGTTGTCCAGGAAAATGGATTTGAATAAAATGCCATGGGAGCTCTCCCAAGTGGACACTAATGTGGAAGAGGGATGAGTTGAACTGAAGAAAAGGAAGAAGGGAACTCCCCTGGATTTTGGGTCTCCTTACTTCTCAATAGTGGAGGGATCTATCAAGCCTCGTAATGCAAGAATAAGAGTGAAGAACAAAAGGAACCAGCAGCCAGCTCAAGGAGATCACGAGATAGCAAGTGATGCTGAAAATGAGAACGACAACCAGCAGCTGATGTTGATCAATTCTGAAGCGTAAGAGGCCTGCAGTAAGCCACCGGGAGAGAAATGAGTTGCCTTAGTTGGAACTGTCAAGGGATTGGGCCACCTTGTACAGAAAACCATCTGAAAAGGATGGTAAGGAAATGTCGTCCATCTTTGGTGTTTCTCATGTAGACTATGAACACTAGGGACAAGATGGAAGAAAATAGGAGAAGTAACAAGTTTCATGATGGTGAGTATGTTGATCTGGAAGATACTGATGGTGACTGAAGATATCCCGATTCAGATTTTAGATAGGGGTAGGAACTTTATTGATGCTTTTATTGATTATGGTAGTGGGTATTTTAAGACTTTTGTACACGCCCCCTCAGTTTCTAGTGAGAGGCGGGTGTTTTGGGATTTTTTTATCTTCTCTTAGGAACGATGTTAGTGTTCCATGGATTATTATCGGTGATCTCAATGCTATGGTGTTTGACTATGAGAAGTGTGGTGGTGGTCCTCTCCGTCGTGAGTTATTCGAGCCATTCAAATCCTTCATCTTTGACAATGGCCTCATTGACCTCCGTTTCAATGGACCACAAAGGGTCGGCTGGATCGAGCCCTATGCACTCCTGCTTGGCGCGAATTATTTGAGGAAAGTTCAATCTTCCATCATCCATGAAAGTGACGTTGGATTGGATCACCATATTCTCATACTGGAATTACACTCACCTAGCCCCATTAATCGCCCTCCTTTCAGATTTGACGAGAGATGGTTGGGGAAGGAAGAGTTATGTCATTGTTAAGAGAATATGGGATTCTGATGGATATCATGATCAAAAGCTGAAGAGGTGTGAGATTTAATTGAAAAGTTGGGCAAAGAATATGACTGTGGAACAGAAAAGGAGAGAAGTGGAGATTAAAAAACGTCTCGAGACCCTTGCGCAGGCTGATCGTACGGAAGCAGTGATTGCGGAGGAAAAACT